AATCTTCTTTTGTTTTCTAGTGAAGGAGAACGCTCCAGATTTGATCGGGGAAACTGATGTGGAGGCGCAGCGGTCACCTAAAAAAACAGAAAATTTTGGAAACAGGTCAAAAGTAAATGTTGTACATCATGTCAAAAGACAGGTCTGGTGATAACTTGTATTGATTACTGTCAAAAATACCATGAAAACAACAAAGCCAGCAGCACATTAGCCCAACCCCATGCCCACGAATTCCTACTGAGGATGTTAAGCATAAAAAAACCAAATCAAACATATTTTTTTTTTTTTTTTTTTTTAAAATAAAATAAACAATCTCAGCATGAGAGAACTGTGCTATCGACGCATTACACCCTGATCTCCTCTGGATATTAGCCCACAGTCCTTAATGAGCTGTAAAAAATGGGTTTCTAAGGATTTTATTTAGTGGCAGATTAATACATGTTTGATGGGCTAGTGAATATTTACAGCAGCTTGGACAGCGTAATGTGGCAGAGCTGAACAATTTGTCAACGAATTAATTAAAAAAAATATTGTGATAATTTATTGTTTTGAGTCACTTTATATGAAAACTGTGCCAAAACTGTGAATATTTCCTGGGTGCAGAATTTTGTTGGGTCTTGGACTGTTGGTTGGGGAAAAAAAAAAACAAAAAAAAAACAAAACTACTTTTGCAATATTTAAAGGCCATACAACCGAATCTGTAATCACTGACTATAAAATATGCATCATCTCCAGAATTATCCTTTAAATCAGATTTTGTGCTCCAGGAATAAATTAAATCCCTCTGTACTTACTGTTCTCCTTTAGCTTGGCAAAGCAGTGATCACACACACGTGCTGGCTGGTTCTTCAGATACTCCAGGTAGTACTTATTAGTAGAACACGCCTGACAAACCACCTGTCAAACACACATCAAACTGTGATGAGAAGGGTGTAAAGCACATGTGTCAAACTCAAGGCCCGCGGGATCATTTTATATATCATTTTTTAATGACCCGGCAATATGAAGCGCCGATAACACACAAACTACAAATCCCATAATGCAGAGCAACAGCTGCCTTACCGAGCGATAGGCTACCTGCGATCATTCCCGCGTCAATTACGTCAGATCATTCAAGCGTCTGTTGATGTATAGCACCCTAATTTCAAGTTAAAACTAGTCGCTAACAATGGCCAAGAGAAAAGTTGATTCTGAAAACCGGTGGGAGGCTGAGGATATGTTTATTGACATTGCCAGTAAACCTGTATGTCTTATTTGTGGAGCTAATGTGGCTGTAATTAAGGAATATAACCTAAGACGGCACTACGAGACAAAACATCAGGACAAGCTGAAAAACGTGAATGAAGAGCAGAAGCT